TTTTTAATTAAATTTTATAATAATATATTAGTGTAGTAAACGCAGTGTCTGTTAGTCTTATATCGTTTGGATTAACAAACCAAATTATCATCTTTGCAGTCTGCCTCATCATCATTTTCCTTATCTTCAGAGCAATTTATATCAAGTTTTTTTGTCATTGTTGTTTTTGTGCTTTATTTTGTCTTCATAAACACATGAGTTCAAGTCTAAGTTGTCACTGTCGTGGTTTTGATGATGTTAAACATAATAAACAAACTGTTTGACCTTGCAATGAACGAGATAATTTGATATTGTCGCTTTTGGAGATCTCATTATAAACCCTTATAATTGGTAAAAAAAGAACTTACATTTTTCTAGATCATGTTTGCGATAAAACAATACCAAGTATGTAAATTATGATTATTAGTAAAGTTAGAGCATTATGTAATTATTTTGCTTGGATATTGTCAAATAAAAAATAATTTTGTTTTTAAATGTTTAATCTATTGTCAATCTATGATTTATATTATAATTAATGACATTGCAAAAGATAAAATAAAATTGTATTAAATAATATATTAACTATTTATTATTATAATTTAACCATTTCTGCACCTAAAATTTACTAATAAAATTAATAAATTTACTATTAAATAATTATAAAAACCATAATTATCATTTTACTTATGCTCAAATCCGAATAGAATGAACATGAATCGATTCATTTGACACAACGTATCGAAGCCGTGGTTGTAGTTGTGTATCTCTTTTGAACTATATGAGTGTTGAGTAGTTTTCATTACTTTTCAGACCCACCATTTGATCAATTTTTGAAACAAATTATAGTATAAATTATAATAAATTTATTAATGTTTTTAGTTATTTTGTTCTTCTTTATAAAAGTATGTGCTTAAATCCCAAAATGTTACATATATTTACTGTAATAAAATGAACAATATAGTCCATCAAATAGTGATAAAGTTGTTGATAATCATTTTTTATAATTAGTGGATGAAGGTATAAGAACCCCTCTAAAATAAATAACACATCAACTTTCACTTTGGAACCATGTCTTCTTAATAACTTATTGGGTTGATAACAGTCATTATCTCCATGATGTTTTCAACATTTTTTTATTGAAATGCACTTTTGGGCAATCATTTTTGCTGGCGGGAAAAACCGCTTCACTACCATTTACTTGTTTTATTGTATAGAAAAATAACGTTTTTGACATTTTGCCGAGTTTTAAAATAAAAAATAATACGGTGGCAAAAAACCGCTTTAGATCTTTTTTGTCTTTTCTAAACCAAATTCTTATTGTTTTATGAAGAAAACTTATCCAATAACCAAATATTGCCCTTTTAAATTGTGAAAAAATAGTGTGTTTTTTCTCGGCATACAAATATTTTTTAACCAAATGTATTGAATAACATACAAAAACACATAATAAACTTGAATTTATTCACCATACAGAAATGATTGCCGCACTTTCTGATTATCCACATTATCCTCCCAGTCTTTTTTAACATTTTTCTGCACTGCTGGAAAAACCGTTTTACTACCATTTAATGTTAAAATTACACATAATTATAACCAAAGTTTCAATTTGCCTCAAATAACTGAGGTTTTGGTGAAAAAAGCAAAAAACACGAGAAATTCTAACAGACATGTGCAGCGCCCTTTTACCGCTTCTGATAATTTACACAAAAATATCCGTCTTACATTGTTTTTATAGACCAATATTAATAAATTGCTTCGTTTATTTTATAAAAAGTTTCAAAAAAGCAAGTACAACGAAATAACGAGTCATTTATCGCTTGCTTGACAAGCACTTGAAAAACCGCTGGGAATGGATGCACTCACGTTCAGTTGGTGAGTAAGTCCAAAGTGCGTTTTTTCAGTTTGGCAGTGAAATGCATTTCTGAGCGAATGAGGAATCCAACAAGAGGGGGTGTGAAATAAAGGTGCAGTCTGTCTTTGCTGAGAGACATTGAAAAGTGGTGTATCAAAAACGTGTGCTGGCTCATATCTTTACAATGTTGCTCGAGAGGTAATTGATTTGACTGTTGAGTATTTGTTTAATGGATGATTAAAAAATTGAAAAAAATATAAAGGAGTGAAAGGGGGTGTGAAAAAAGGTACACTCGCGGGTTAGTGTTTTTGAGTTTTTTATTTCTGCAAAAAATGAAAAAATATTTAATAAAAAGTTCATTTTATTTGATAAATTCTGAGTTGTTTTTTGGTTATTTTGGCTTCAAAGAACAGTTTCGAAGTCAATCTTTCTTGCTCCTCCTTTTATCATTCAGCAAATCCAGCCTTTATTTTACATAAAAAAATAATTCACAAATTTCAATAACAAACATCGGCATCTTGAAAAAGTCAGAGAGACTCTTGTAAACCTTGTTTTTTTTAATCAAATCGAGGAAAAGGAAAAAAATAAACTATACAAAAAACTATAATCATATTATCATTTAACCATTAAATTATCAAAAGCGGTTTTTTTCCACCCCTTTATAGCTTTTACAATTAAGCATTTAATTATTATTAATAAAAAATGCTATAATTTTATTAAATTTTAATCATTTTAAAAAAACTTATTATTAATATATATATACATTTTGGTATTTTTAGTATAATAATTATCCCTCTTTTGAATATGCATTTTAGACTTCAAACCCGCGCTTTTTGTTAAGAAAAATTAGTATTTAAAAATGCTATTAAAACGGGATGTTATTTTTTACCCGATTCTTTGGTGTTTTTAATACTAATAATCATTTGTAAAAAATATTGGGCCCGAAGTCTAATGCATATATAATAAAAGGTATTTTAACAAATAACGATAAACCAAGAATCTGAAAATCATTTTAATTCAAAAGAGATAATTGTGCTTTATATTATATTTAAATTTTTTAATAAATATATATTTATTATTATTTTTAAAACTTATTTAACATTAAAACGTTTAATTGCTTATAATGTTGTTAATCAACAAAAAAACGAACAAACTATTTTTTGAGTTTGTTAATATAATATATTATGATATGTTTTTTATGTTCATATTATTTTTTAAAATTATTATTAATTCTTAGAAATGTTTAAAATTTTTTAAAAAATAGAAAAAAAGTTATACAGATAGAAGAATTATTGGTTGTCACATGGTAAGACAAGCTGCCATTAGTTGAATAACATGATTGTGCCACGTCATTTTACTCACAATGATCCTTTTTTACCAAAATTATCCCGAAAAAATAACAAAACACCAAGCAATATACTTTAAAAACATATTTATAGAAATTTGTGACATGTTAAAACAGATTAGTTTTACTTTAAATTAAAAGAAATTGATCCCAATTAATTACCAATCGTATGATAGACAAAATGTTACAAAAACACCAAAAGAAATTGTAATTGAATTTAAAATAGAATTAATTTATTTTTGTTCAAATGTTATTTTACACAACAAAAACGATAGAGAATTATTCAATCAAATCAAAAGTTATCGAAGTTCTAGTCTTTTTCACCGTTTTCACATTTCAACGTAAAGTCTTGATTATTTGTTAATATGCTCTGTAAGCCGTTTTTTAAGCTGGTATTTTTTTGTATTGGTTTCCTCCGCCCCGAACTTCTTTGCGTCTGCTTATTAGTATATTTATATATGATAATAATGGTATTTTGACATTATAAAAATGATAACTAAGAATCCAAAAAACATTTGAACACAAAAGCATATATTTACTTTATATTATATTGAATTATTTAATAAATATTTATTGTTTTAATAAAAAACTGGTATAATATTATAAATTTTAATTAACAGTAATGGTGTTGATCAATGATCAACAACGAACAAACAAACACAAAACTTAAATGTTAATTCAATTAACGTTTATAAAAAATGATTAAAATCAATTCAAAGTGAATCAAAACAGTTTTGAAGACGATCCACAACTCCATTTATCTGTAACCTTTCTTTTGGATTTTGGTCCCAACAACTTTGAATAATTGCATAACATTCTGTCGGCGTTTCTTGACGTTTTTTTAATCGATTACCACTGATCACAAACTCTGCTATTTTCCAGGGATATTTAAATGTGTCAATTGGATAAGCTTCCTTCCATCCAAAGCATTCGAACATAGTTATAGCAAATGAATATATATCAGCACTCTTCTTATATTTCATTTGTTCCAATACTTCCGGCGCCATGTACTTTGGTGTTCCAATACCCTTTGTGAAAGTCATGTTGGTCATCAACAAATTTACATTTCTAGCGCTTCCAAAATCAGTCAATTTTGCATTGACTTTTTCGTTTACATCAAGTGAGAACACGAGAATATTATCTGGTTTGATATCTCTGTGTAATATCCCATTTTCATGTAAATATAATATTCCCTTTGATGCGTCCAACATCATTTTCAATCGGAGTTTCATTATAACTTCTTCACTTGTTTTATGATTCATTAAATCTTGTAAAGACCCAAATTCGGCAAATTCAGTGACCATACACACTTTGGTTGGTATAAAAACTGCACCATAGAAATGGACAATATACTCATTTCTAAATTTGTCAAGCATCGATACCTCATTTTCAAATTCTTTATTTTGATCATCTAAAATAGTCAATTTCATCTTTTTGATGGCTACAAAATTTCTTCTGAAAGTACCTTTGTAAACTATGCCAAAACCACCTTCACCAAGTTTTTTGTCTTCATTTAATTCTTCATAATCCAACTTGGTTGATATCTGAGTTATAGCAACCAAATTAATTGGAGTTTCTGCAGTGATTCCACTTTCAAAATCAACAGAAAACAATGTGATTTTATCTTCAATTTTACACGAACATTTTGGTTGAATAAATATTTCAAATTCGATTGCTTTGTTCCCTTTTAAAGAAATCACAAGTGGTTCTGTTCGAATGGAATATTTTTCTGTGTCTTCCTTGGACGAAAATTGCACTTTTATTGTGTTCTTTCCAAAATTGCCAACACAAAATAACTCACGCGACTCTTTGTCCACTGGAATTGCTTCCTCGTCGTTTTCTCCTTCAAATTTAATTTCATTTTTGTTCACAAAAACGTTGGCAATTGAAGTTTCGGTGAATCGAATGTTCGACTTTCTGACATCGAAAATACACATATTCTCATATACTTTTTTGGTTTGATAATGATGAGAAATTTTAACAGAGAAAAATAACACGAATGATACAACGATAGTTATGATGATGAGAACAAATATCACTCCAATCAATATCACCCACCACACTACTTTTGTATGGCAAGACGTGTTTGAGTAATTTGGCGTGTGCCAAAAAGTGCATTTCGTGCATTTAGAGTTTGTCACTTCAACACAATTTTCAATTGAACTTTTAGAGTAACATTTGGAGTCTATCAAGACATAATCTTCTACACACGAAGTGCATATTCCAGTTGTTCCACAAGTGGAACAATTAAAAGTTGTTGAGTTACAGGAGACACAAAACTGATTTTGTTGGTAAAAACCAGTTGAACATTTTAAACATCCACTTTGACTTTTAAATTCGCAATTTACAAGTAAATCATATGAGATACACTGTGTGTTGTTTGTGAGTAAAAAGTAATTTGTAAAACAACTTAAACATGTTTTTTCAGTGTTGCACTCATTACAATTTTCAATGCAATTTATGCACTCACCTTCGGCGTTTCTGTAAAAATGACTCTCACAAAACGCACAAATTGATTTTGATGGTAAAAGCTTTTTGCAATTGGTGATGACTTCCGAATTTGAAAAACACTTCCCATCTTTTAAAAAGTGATTTTCAGTACACGAAAGACACGTTGAAAAATCAAGACAATCCAAACAATTTTCAGAACAATTTTCACATTGATAATTTGATACAAAATAACCTGTTAAACAATGAATACATCGGTCTTGTTCTTCATTCATTCGATCACAATTTTCTTCTTGATTTGCCAATGAAACACACATGGATGTATTATCATAAAAAGTATTGTTTTCACAGAGCAAACATTTTTCATTTTTATTTGATATCAAACAATTGGAATTTGAAGTGCACACTCCACTATCATTAATAAAATTAGAGACTTGTTTACAGCCATTACAAAAACTGTTTGATGTTTGAATACAACTACTTTGTGTTAGTTCGATGCATTTTCCTTCATTATTAATAACTCCATTCAATTTACATTGAAGACAATTGTGTGTATCACAAAGGGAACACAATTCACCATATTTAGTTGAACAACTTTGACAAGTATTTTCTATATTGTAATAACCAGTTTCACATATAATTAAATTGTCGTTGTTTGAAAGAATAACTCCATTTAGTGGAGTGCAAACTCCATTTTTCAATAAACTTTTAGAATCACATATTTTACAAGAACTTTCATTGTTACAATTAATACAATTTTCACCACAATTTTCACACTTATTTGATTTAATAAAATATCCAATATTGCATTTGATTGTTTTACCTGATATTATTAATAACGAATTATCATCATAAACTAATACCTTTTCGCAGTTTCGATTGACGTCAACAATATACTCTTTATCACATAAAACACATTTTCCTTTGACACAATGAAGACAATTAGTCGGGCATGGTAAACATTGATATTTATCAACTTCGCTTCCAGTTTCACAAGCTTCACAAACAGCTGAAGTTTGTTTTTTGTATAATGTTATACATTTTGAACTTATAACTTCGCAATTTCCACTTGATAAATATGAGTCATTTTTACATAAATGACAACTTCCATTTTCTAAATTGGAATAAAAGAGCAAACATTGGTTTGTTTCATTAAATGACACTGTTTTATAAGTATCAGTTGTTTTCCTCATCTCCTTTTTTGATAATTTTGTTGTAGTGGTAAACCCAAATTTAGAACCTAAAATCCACTTCTTACTCATTTGTGAAATTTCAATGTTTTCGCCATTTTTTGAAGAGTTGTTAATATAAATTAAGTTTTCATTTTGTTCTTTAAATTTAGAAGTAAAAGTGTATTTTTTAATAAAATCAAGTTGCGTTGTGTTTTGCATAAATACTCCAATAAAATTGATGTTTTGTTCGAGTTTTGTGTTTTGTATTACAATTGTTGAATTAACAGAGGATAGTAAACAGTGTAGGACTTGATTGTCATAACTGTTGTAATCATCAAAGTTTCCACTGATATAAGTACATGTAACGGTTGTATCAACATTGTTAGAGTTTAGATAAGATCGATATAATTTCCCACCAAGTAATTTATTAAACAAAGGTGTTGAAGATGAATTTTGAACTTCTTGAAATGAAATCAAGTTGATATAATTGTCTTGATAATTGTTAAAATTGACTTTTATGTTGGTTGTGTCTGATATAAATTTACCACCTTTTTGAATTTGAATAAGACCCGTTTTATCCCCAATTGTTGTCATATTATTGAGATTTATTGTGACACTTTCGCCGATTGTTAAAGAATATTTCGAAGTCATTTTAATATACCCATTAGTGTAAAACTCGATTGATGAAGTGATTTTCAGTGGTGCATTAAAAGTGGCACATTTGTGCAGTGAAAGTGTTTTTGTTGTAACATTTGAAGTGAAAGTGACATTCACATCTTTAACATTAATTTCAATTCTGTTCCAAGTTTGTGTAGTTAAATTTTCATTCATTTGTGATGAGAGAATTTGAAGAGTCAAAGTATTTTGTGTAGTGTTGTTAAAGCAGTCTCCTCGATTTATTCCATCAGAACCTTTTGGATCCCATTCGCCATTTTCAGTGTAATTACAAAGACACATGTTACACATACTTTTTGTCAAATACACTCGTTTCCCACATTTGGATAAAAGTGACGTCTTAACTTCAGTAAAATCTCCATCTAAAGCAAACAATATTTTGTTTGTAAAATTGGGTTCAGATATTATTATTTGTGTGTTAATTACGAGATTCTTTTTGAAGTAAAATTTCCCAATAGAAGTTACTTTCAAAGTTGATATATTACAATTTAAATTAAAAATAATATCTTCATTTTCTAATATTTCCAGAGTGTCAAAATAAATTGTGTTTACACTTACATCAATTCCATTTAATATGTATTTTCTATTTGTTTTGAAAATGATTGAAAACCATTGAGTAACATTAAGATAAATATTGATATCTTCACTTTCACTTCTACTCTCGCCAATCGCTGTTAAATTCAAATCAAATAATGAACTGTTGTATCTACAATCTGGGAATGTATTTACATTTTCCCATGTAATACTTTCATTCTCTGCATTACAATAACAAGTCGTATTTTTCAAATTTGACGTATTTGTAGTTTCATTTGTATTGAAATATAAAAATCGTTTAAACCCATTTCTATCACACACTTCTTTTGCTAATGGTTCCAAAGAAGACAAATAAAAACCAATACTCTCTTCTTTTGATTTTCCAGTGAATAGATATCTTCCCTTTGTAAATGGATCTCCAACATATACTGTTGTTCTGAATTCAAAATTAACAGATTGCATCACGTTTCCATCAATAAATAAATAAGCGATTTGTGATGTTGTTCTGAATATCATTATCCAGAAATTCTGATCTATATCAGAAAACAAAGAAATCCCTTGTGTCCTTAAAACTACTGGTGGTCTCAAAGAATCATTTATAGTTGTCCTGCAATATCCTTCGTTATTAAAACAACCAAAAGATACAAACAAATTTTCTGGTCGATTGAGTTCCACTAAAGTCACTCTGACATTCACATTTGCCTCTCTGACAAATAAACATTTCAGTGACACAGAAGGTTTAAATTCAAATTTTCGAACAACATATTCATTAAAGGCAGTTTCTTCAAACGTCATTATTGGGGAGGAACAACACCCACTTTGAAATGTGAAACTGTAACCTTCTTCATTCGGAACAACATCCCAATTGTTTTTTAAACAACTTTGGGTGGAAGTAAAATAAGTGATCACTCCTGAATCTTCACACCAACCACTCTCACTTTTACAAACACTGAAAATAACAAAAATATAGAGAAGTGAATGATTGAACATGTCTGTATTTGTAGATGACGAATTTCAATTTGAAAGGGCAATAATTATTTATTTTTTGGTGATAGTAAAAACAATTATTTTTTTTGTTTATATTCGTTGTTATCTATAATTATGAAAATGGTTTATTATTCAATTATATTGAATTTGTTTTTTCATTTTTAGAATGTTTTGGCGTTTTTTTAGAATATTTTAAAGTAATTCTATGATTGAAAATTATTAAAAAATATAAACCGTAAATTAATCATATTAAACACCGAATAAAGTCTGTCTTTTAACGTTATCTGGTGCCTTTTGGACTATAAAATTCGAAATAATTTGGAAAGCAGTCCCAAAAATCTATCCCAATTGTTTCGGGTTTTTTCACGCTTTACCTAATGCCCGATGTTTAGACAATATTAAAGCTATTTTTTGTCCACCAGATAAAGCTAAAAGACTGACTCTATTTATCATTTTAAAAATATATTTTGTTGTTATTGGTTGATATTTAGTTGTTCAACGTATTTACTGACTCATTTATTATTATATGACAATGTCTGTATAATAATGTTGTTCATTTGACGAATATTTACACAAAATGTGTTTAATATAATGGGAATTTAAATTAAAATTTGGTTTTAAAGTATTTTGAATTGTTTCCCGAACTATTTCAGGTCAGATGTGCAAAATTGCTTTGACAACGTTGAAGAGTAAATAAAGTTATAAACTGATTGTATTAATTATTATTTAATTGATATTTAAAATGTGATTTCTTATAAATTATTAATTAAATATATAATTAATTGTTGTTGTAAAATTATTTTAATAAATAAATTTATTATTTTAATATAAAAAGTGTTATTTAAAAAGTTAGTTTTATTGTAATTACATTAAATATTTAAAATAACGCCTTTGTTATAGAATTGACCAGCTTTTCCTAGGATATCAACTCAATTTATATGAATTTACCTTTTTGGTTTATATATGATATTTACATGATATAATCCTTAAGAATGTACTTTATAAAAAAAAATCGATATTATTTGATTCCCCATCCACTTGGTCAATGAACAATAAATTAAAAACAATTATATTATTTAATTATATTGTAATAATTAGGTATTAATAGTATTTTTATAAAAAATAATCTTGACAGAGTCTATTCAAAACAATTCAAAATAAATAAGTTTTGTAATTTTTTAATTATTATATATTTATAAAACTCTTTATTAACATATATGTCAACCTTGACAAGCAAAGACATACACACAGTTTCTCAATATTTAAAAACACCAAAAGACTTTATTAATATAATGTGTGTTTGCAAAAACTTCCGTCAAACTTGTTTAACATTCAAATACAATCCAATTCCTCTTGATAAATTAACATTCCAAATATTTTCGAATATCGAAACCCTAAATTTTTGGAATGAAAAGGATTTTTCGAAATTTTTATTACAAAAAGAAAAACCAATGTTGTTTAAAAATTTTAACCTTCTTTTTAAAACGTCATACATCAGATTCGTTTTAGAAAACAACAACTTTGTTACTCATCCTACAGTGACATATTCAAAAAAGGATCGAGAGAAGTATGGACTCATTATTCCACAAGTTGTTAAATCACTCAGTCATAATTGCTTTAAAGATACAAACGTAACTAAAGTTGTTTTGCCTCAACGTATTGAACGACTTGGCGATTTTTGTTTTTTCAATTGTCAAATTCTAAGCGAAATTGTCTTCAACGAAAAATTGACTTCGATTGGCAATTCGTGTTTTTCCAACGCACAAATATTGGAAAACGCACATTTGCCAACAACGATAAAATTTGTTGGAGAACGGTGTTTTGAAAATTGTTATTCATTGAAGAGAGCATGGGTACCCCCTCATGTTTTTGCACTTAAAAATCACTTCTTTTTTGGGTGTGTAAAATTGACCAAATTGGTACTCCCCAAAAGTGTTTCTGTGTTTGGAGAAAGTTGTTTTGAGAAGTGTGTAAGTCTCCAAAGAATAGTAATTCCACCAAAGATCAAAACAATACCAAAAAATTGTTTTAAAAATTGCACGTCACTTACCTTCGTATATATACCACAAAAAGTTTTGTCAATAGAAGAAAATGCATTTAAGGATTGTGTACATTTAAAAGTTGTTGTAATTGACGCTGAAAACTTGAAAATAGCAACAAGTGGTTTTGAAGGGTGTGAAAAGGCTGATTACTATGTTGAAGAAAACGAATGTCAAACAATGATAGAACTCGAAAATCTCAACTTTACAATTTTTTCCAATTTTAAAGATATAAAAATCCAACTTATTCAAAAAATTGAAAAATGCCGAATTTTTTCCGACTTTCAAAGCAAACATGAAAAAATCGAAAAAATTGAAAATTTACAAAATTTACAAAATTTGGAAAATTTGGAAAAGTCGAAATTTGACGATTTATTTGAAATTGAACGAAGCGATAGAAATATAGAAAGTCCTTCATTGATTGAAGAAGACATCGATGATAATGCAATGGAACTTTTTTCAAAACTTGTAACACCACCAAATACGAAAACTAAAAATCAAAGAATACAAAGATCTTATCAAACAACACAAAAAACTACAAATCAACAAGTTGATAACTTTGTAAATTATAACTCTTTAACTGCACAACTCTTAATAAACTTTAAAAGGTCTACCGAATTGAAAAAAGATGAGAAAGTCATATTAGAAAGTCAAGAACAAAAATCAGATGATTTAAGAGTTAAAGAAATTAAAAATGTGTTTCAAAATGATAATAATGGAAGCAAAGTTGAACAACCCAATTTATTGGAAAGATTAAATTTAATAGAAAGTGGACAACAAAAAGATTTATTAAATGCATCCAAAGACAAAACTCGAGATAGTTCCAGTAAAAATATATTAGTTGATAAAATTTTAGCATTAAAAATTAACCAATGGTATGCAAATCAAACAAAAATACAAAGCAAAGATAATACAATTCATAACACACAAATTATTAACGTCGATGAAAATTGTTGTGTCCAACACCAAAATGGATTTGAAACTAAACAATTGTTTCAATCACAAACGAACAAAATAGTCAACAAAACAATTTGTATACCCAACACTTGTTTTACAAACAACAAAATGAACAAATTCAACAAAACGACCCACGTGGGAAATGTAGAAATCAAAAAGAAAAAACAAGAAAAGTGAAACTCCTTAAAGGGATTTTTAATGACAATTTAAGAGACTTTCAAAATCAAGTAGATTCGGTCGACTGTTCTGAGAAAAACTCTTATAACGAAAAGGATAAACAAGTTGAATACAAAGAAATAGAAAATACAAATGAACAAAAAAAATTGAGACAAAAAGAAATTGAAATACAAAAACTAAATGAAGTTCCCATTAAAGTTCCTTCTCGGAGAATTGTTCGTAGTGACTCATTTCAACAACGTTCACAAATATTGGAAGATTCAAAAGATGATAAAGACTGTATTTGCATTAGTAAATACAACAATAACAAGAGTTTAGTATCACCTTTTCTTTCGCCGTCAGTGGAAAAAACGACACACCCTGTTATACAAAGTTGTTCAAAGAAGAATCAGTTCACACGTAAAACTCTTGCCGATATAAAAAATGAGTTATGGAAAAGTGTAGACAGCCAAATTATGGACAAACTTTCTTTGCAAAACAAATTTGGAAAAAGAGCATTTTACAACGATTTGTCGATTAGTAGTGTCATATTAAGAAAGTGCGTTGCTGAGATTGGAGAGTACTGTTTTGGGTGTTGCAGCAACTTAACACGTGTTAAAATTACGGCGTTGATTACTAAACTTCCACCGTATACTTTTTATATGTGTTTTTTGTTGAATAAAATTTTAATGCCAAAATCACTCACAAACATCGAAGAGTTCTGTTTTGCAAAGTGCTTTTCACTTTTTAGTGTTGAACTTCCAAAACATTTAAATACACTTGGAAAAGGATGTTTTTCTGATTGCATAAATCTGAAAAGTGTGAATATACCAGAAACTGTAAATGTTATAGAAGTGTCTACATTCGATGGATGTGAAACTTTGAGTATTGTGACATTGCCTCTTAATATCGTAGAAATTCCAAATAAATGTTTTAAAAATTGTTATTCATTAAAAGAAATTAACTTGAGTCATGTGAAAGTGATCCAAAAGAAATGTTTCGAAAATTGTTATTCTATACAAAACTTAAATCTAGAAAATTGCGAATTTATTGGTGAAAAGGCTTTTAGTAATTGTAAAGAACTTGTTTTGATTCTTGACAACAAGAAACATACTATTGGTGATTATTGCTTTGAAAATTGTAAAAAAATCACCATTTTAAACACAATTTTACAGTCAAACGACGACAAAACGTGTCAAGAAAAAAGTGATATTAGAAAAGAAGAAAAAATTATAATAAAACATAATAAGTTTGATGATGAAGAACTTTTACTATAAATTTAGTTTGTTTATAATTTTTTTTATTATTGATTTTAGATTGAAACAAAACTAATTAACATTTGAATAATAATCGTTTTGATATTTTTTGATGTTAAATTTATTTCTATATATTTTAATAAAAATGGTAGTTCAATTTAAAAATTATTTATTTATTATATATTATTACCATTTTTATTATAAGTAGTTCATCTGTACTAATTGAAATGTGTATTTTAGAAAAAAAAATTTAAAACTTGGCAGACTCATAAACCAATTAAATTGTTAAACACTTACCAATTACGTTTGTCATTAACTCATTTTTATTAAATTATAACACAAAAATAATATCATGTCATAATAACTTTTTAATTAAATAAATCAATTTTTAAGAAAAAGTTTTAATTTTATTATAAACATGAACATTATAAACACAATTGGGGTGTTTTTTAATAAAGGTAAATATTAATTAAAGTTTATAACTTCATTTCAAAATTAAAATAATAAATTTGTAAATATATAATTTATTATTACAATAACAAAAATAAAATTATAATTTCAAATGTATTTAACCATTGAATTCTGAGTTGTACTCAACATTTCAAAACAAAAAGTAATTTTTTTAATGTTCTTTTTTGTGTTTTGTGTTTTATTTTTACTTTTTTTTCGTAAACGAGTATTAGTTATAAAATGACAAATAATTATCGTTTTTTTAAAAAAAACACACTAAGTTATTATCCTCTTTAATAACTTCAAAAAATATTTTACTCTTTTTTGAATCATAAAAAGCACCCTTTTGATTATTTATATCAACACACCCAAAAGTTGAGTTTTATTGAAATTGATTAAACCAAATATCAAAAATATAGCAAATAAATGGTTTAATGATCTATTTGAAAACGAACAATTAATATTCGTTTTTCTTCTATAATTTGTTTTAATTCGAAAAGATAAACCGAACATTCATATAGCCTCAAAAACTGTTTTATTTTCAACTCGCCAATCAAATGGTTTTTACCTTTGTTTTGTTCCACTTTGTATTTCTGTTCTTTGTTTATTCATCCTCTCGTCCGATAAGACAACAGATACAAGGAGATATGGTTCATGAAAAAAACCAGAAAGTCTTTATTTTTCACACTCCAAAACAGTCATCTAATTCATTATCCAATGTGAACCAAAATGGCAATTTTAATTATGCAGTCGAAATGGTTGAAGGAGTTCATAATTTTGACGATGAGATGTCTGTGGATTCCATTGACTGTAATGAAATGAACACATTAAAAATAGTAGCAACATCAAAAGATATTGAGAAATGGGAAGAAGGCGATTTACTTTCAGGGTCACAGATGTGGGGGTGCGAAAACTTGAACAGGAGAATTGAAAAAATATCTCTTCAATATGAAGAAGAAGGCAATTTCGGTTTTGTGGTTAAAACTTCGTTTGCTGATATGAAAGAGTACTTCAAGAGAGCCAAAGTAGTCTATAAAGCCAATAGTGAAATAAGTGAAGTTCGTGATAGTTCTCAAAAAACAAATGAACAACCAAAAGAAACAATAAAAAATGAAGTGAAAAAAACAGAAGAAAAAAATGATAAAACTACTTTTAAACTTGAAGATGACAATTTTCATCCTTCTGGTTCCGTTGAAACTCAAGTTAAATTTATTGACACATCACTTCTTTCATCAGACGGTGCTCCACAAAATGCTAACGTTGGTTCTAATGGGGCAAGAAAGTATTTGAAAGAAACGTATTGGACTGCGCAACAAGAGCGTGAATATCAGTTCATGATGCACAATAAAACTTCTTCAAATCCAAAATATTCAACATCAAAGGGCGTTCCAAAGTATATTCAAGAGGTTTCTTCGAATGTTGGATCATCATATTACAGAGGAGACTGGTTGACAGTCAAATTTAAAACGTTTGAGAAATGCTTAGACACTGATGTTTTGATACATTTTATTATCAGGAGAAGTAATAGATTCTTTGATGATAACGTGCTCCATGCCGCTTTAGGATTGTCAAAATATCAAAATGATGGAAGAGTGCTTAACACTAAAATATATTTAGGTTCTGCAGAGGTTATAAAGAAGGCATACATTTCAATGGAAGTGAAGTGCAATAATGTGTTTTACACTTACTATTTATCTGAATTTTTCACGTATAATTACTCACCACAACTTGTTGTGACTTCTCCACTCTCGGGACAGATCTTTAGAAGTAATGAAACGGTGAATGTCATGTGGGAGGCAAGTGATGACTTTATTAAAAATTACCCAATTATCAATTTGCGAGTATTTGAATGTGGCAGTGTTTTCTGTACAAAGACTATCACCCAAAATTTCATCAATTTAAAAGTAGAGTCAAAGTTTAAGAAATTTTCATTTAAAGCAGATGACTATATATTTAGAGATGCAAATATGATACTTCAACTTGATTACAATTGTAACTTCGCTTTCTATTCGTGGTGTGATTTTGCACAAAGTCCAGTGTTCTCTGTTATGTCAGACGCGACCAACAAAGACCAAGTAGTTATGACTGAGCCCGAAATAGGCCTAAATTTAATAAGTGGAAATACACTCTGTGTTGGATGGGATTTTCAAGAGAAATTGGAAGATCAAACCGTCACGATTGAACTCAAAAAGGATGTATGGGGGTTAGACCCTTCTTATTATACAGGGACGATTGATTTGTATGCGAAAGGTGGGTGCTTTACAATTCCGGATGTAGCTGGTTCAACTGAATTTTACACACAATTAAAATACAATTGTGGCGTCTTTTTCTGTAAAACGATTGTCTCAAACTACTTTGCGATCAACAGTGAGAGAAAAATCAAGTTTGAAAGTTTCTACCATGATATAATGAAAAAGAAGTATTACATAACCTTTGCTATGCAAAAATTGGTGACTGGAAAATTTTCGGTATTGGTCAAACAAAAATATCCAAATTTCTTGTTGGTCCAACCAGAACTTGTTGGAGGCCAATTTTATGGACCGGAGTATGTAGTTGGACAGAGATATAATGTTACATTTGAGACTGAGGATCAAAGCTTTTTCAAATTATATGTTTTAATCAAGTACGACTGTTCGTTTGGAAAATTCTACTGCAAAAATGAACGATCAAAACTATATTCATCTGAGTTGGTATATAGAGCAGCTTGGAATGACCCGACTGTGGAAGATAAATATCAAGTCTCAAAGACTTTTGTCGACTTCAATTGTAAAAATACAGTTGGATATAGTGACCCACTTTCTATTGTTATTCAAGAATTGTGCAAACTAAGTAACAAGGTATTTGCAGTGACTGCCGGGTTTAAAATTACATGTGAAGATTGTTTTGTCATAGCAGAGTATAAATTAAAGGACTTTGAGTTCGACATATCATTTTCTGGCATCTCAAAATTCACAGCAGAGGTTGACGTTGATACAAAAATTGGGTTTAACACTATCAGTAAGTTTTGGGTGAGTTTGAGAAGGTACCAGGAGCTCCAAATATTCGACTTAAAACAGATTGGACTCCCATCATTCCAATTTCAAATCGGGTCGTACACTATGTCTATTGGGCCACTTCTCAATGTTTATTTTGTGTTTGATTTCGACTTAACTTTATTGGCTCAAATGTCAACGAACTATACAGTAAATTACGTCTTCTCGTTATCCATTAATTCACTTGCAAGAAATCCAGTGATTTACAACTTTGTTGAGAAAAGTCGTTCAAGTGCGTTCAACATTCTTGGAAGTGCAACTTTCAAAGCAGCTTTGGGATTTAAAGTTAATATAGGTCTCGGTCTTGGAATTGAGAGCTTCAATTTGGATATATACTGTTGGGCAAATAACTCATTGACTTTACAAGTACCACCATTTATAGCGAGTAATGAATACCTTGTTGACAATAAAAAGGTCGACCACTTCGTTAATTACGATTTCGATTTCACTCTTAATATAATGACGTGGTTCAAATTCTTGTGGATATCGACAGACAAAATGGACATCTCAAGTAACAGTTTTAATTACAAATTTATGACTTTGGGATTCTTCCCAACTAACATTGGGATGGAAAAGATCATGGTGTTTTATACTGAAAAGGAGTTCTCAAAGGACAAAAATGAATTTTTGGAACTGCTTGTTTTCAACGAGATGAACGATTTGCTATCAGATTTGTCAAATGCCACAGACAAATTTTACAAGAGAAGTCAAATGAAAATTTCTTATAAAAAAGAAGATTTCTTGAGAGGAAATGAGACGTATGAAAAGTTCTATATATACTTTACAGATTGTGAAGTGGGTGAAGATTTGTTATACCTTTTTAAGAAGTACATTTTATTCGGAAGTGTTCCTGAAAACGCCCATTTGACGGGAGAATATCCATTAAGTAATTTGTTCGCACAAAGTGTAATCAAAAGCAATTCAAAAGATGGGTGCAAAATGACAGATTTGTTAGACGAAAATTGTAGAGAGTGTTTTGACGACTTTGTGATGTCTCTTGGTAATTGTTATTACCAACCTATTTCTGGTATCGAAAACTTGTGGGGGAATAAATCATAATTACGTTTTTATTTGTTTTTTTCTTAATAACACATTAAACATGTAATCATAATTACTACTCTGGCTTTTTTTAAAACGTGCTGAAAATATTAAAATAAAAAAGAATTATCAACAAAAAAGAATATACAAATTTGAATGTATTTGTTTAGGATTTTATAATTTGATATATTAAATATAATTACTTCACATATTCAGATATTTTTAGATTGATACAATGATACAAAATTTAATAAAACTTTAATGATTACTGTTATAGTTAATAACTTTTACTTTATTCCACTTCATTTTCTCTCTGTTGTTGGAGACCTTTTAGTTCCTGTTGATGAAACATCGCTTTGACTACCAGAAGGCGATTTTGACATAAGTGTTTTTTCAGCTTTAATTCGTTTTAATAGTTCAACTAATTGATGTCTTCCTTTGACAAACGCATCATCGTTGTTCACTTGAAGCAAATTTGCCAAATTATCAACAAGATTTAAAAGATGTTCAATGCAATTATCATCAAGTAACAACACTTTCATTATTCTTTTCAATGTGTTTTCATCGCCCGAATATCGTTTTTGAATGTTTTCTACATTTCTTGTTATATAAAAGAAGTAATTTCCAAACCCAGCTTTCAAATTTTGAAAATCGAAATATTTGGCCATGTTTACCATCCATTCTTCCATCATTTCTTTATTAATATGAGCCCTCTTCTCAACAAGTATCAATAAATGTCTCACGTCGTCAATGTGCATTTCCATCATACCCGCTGAAGCCCAAAATTGCGATGTAAAAAAGTTTTGGTTTTGGAATGAGAACGATTTAAGTATTTTAAGGTTTTTTATCATCTCTTCCAAACACTTTAATATTTCTTTTATTGTTGTCATTTGATCTTTTGGAATCTCAACTTCTTTCTTCTTTTCCAATTCCGCCTTTAATCGAGCTGCCTTTTCTCTCTGCTCTAATTCTTGCCTACTTTCTTCGCTTGGTTTAACTCCTCCAGCTGTTGTTGATGTTTGCGAACTTGTTGTAGGTTGCGATAAACTTCTTCTTAAACGTACTCTTTGTTGTTCTTTTTCAACTAAATCACCTATTGAACCACTTCTTTTCAAAAGATGTGGTTTTGAACTTGGTTCTTCTGGCTTTTCAGGTTGTTGCACTTTTGGAATTAGATTTTCTTCTCGTTGTTGTGTTTGTGATCTTTCAGCACCTGGATAACGTCTTAATGTTTCTGCCAAAGCCATAACTAAATTTTGTGCTTTGAGAAAGTGTGGGCTTTTTAATAAGCCAACAAAAGACGACAACTTCAATAACAACTTGTGACGATTAAGAAACCAATTGAAATCCAACATAAGGTACAAGTTAAGTCGGCTTTTCATTCTCGTGGCAACTTCTGTTGTTTTTGAAATCGACTCCATGTTACTTTTTAGTAAAAGGATGTATTTTCCATAACCACGATGAACATCATGTAAATTATAAGTCTTCGAAAGTAACAGACACAATTGTTCTAAATCATTTTTTGTTATTCTTCTTGTATTCAACATTTTCTCAAGTAATTGAACAATTTGGTCTTCCAGTGTTTGCATTTCGTCGACTGCTTTGGTCATTCCCTCTCCATATAGATGTGGAAATCCAAGTGTGTCACCATGAAGACCTCCCAATTGTCTGATTAATTCATACGACTCGGTATAATGTTGATGAATAATCGTAATAAGATTTTCAGGTAGTTCAATGTCTTCTGTAGGACCAGCATCTTTTGGGTTTACTGCACATGAAACAAATATAAATATATATAAAATAAACATCATTTAATACACTTTGTAGTTTTAAAATTATTTAAATATAATAAAGCACATTTAACATCTTTTACTTTGAGATGGAATAAATGTTTGATATCAAGTCAATACCACACATAAAACATCAAACAAATTTTCATATTGAATTACTATATATTATAATTTTTATATACTTTTTCACTTGAAAAACTTAGCGGCCGGCATGTACTATTGAAAAATATCAAATAATAACTTGCATTAATGAATATGGTTAGACACATTGTTGATAAATCTATACTTCAAAAACAAATTAGAGTCAATTAACAACAATTGTTTAACCACGTTTAAACCAACATGAGCTTTTTATTCTTGTTTGTAATTTCAACTTTATTTATTCCAATTATCATATTGGAATAGAGTCGGTCTATTTGTATAGACCAACTCTATTTGTAAAATAAAAATAAATATTATATAATTAACATATGGTTTATAATTAACAAAAAAAATTGTATAATAAAAACTAAAATTGAATAAATTTAAAATATTTTTTTATATTTTTAATTTTTGAAATTTCTATTTTTTTCTGAAATTTTCGAATCGTACTGGTCAAAATATTACCAACAACATAAAGAATAAACACTGTATACCCATTAACTCAAAATTGATTTGTAATTGCCATCATAATAATTCAATTGAAGACATTAATGTATTTGTTGAGGTTTTAATTTTAATATAAAGTTTGAATTACATTTGATAAATTGTTACGATTCCAATTTTAAAAAAAACTAAACAGCCTATAGTTAGTTAACTATATACCCCGTTAGCTAACTGAAAAATAATTGACTCGCCAACTATATATTATCTAACCCAAATATTAAAAAACATATGGATTTATTATAATTTATAAAATATTGGTTATTTAAAACTATATTAATAATTAATTTATCAATTAATTAACTATATTACTTTATTTAATATATAAGTTCATTTTAATAATTTAATAATTAAGGTCATTCTCTATCTTTAGTTCAGTTACCTAATGGGTATTTGGTTAACTAACTATAAGGTTTTTGGGTTACTTCTCAATTATTAAACTTGGTTTTTGAAATTTACTAATATATAATTATTTAACAAAATTAATTGACTTAACTTATGATTTCACAAGATTTATTTTTTTACATACAATTATTAAAACTGATTTGAAAAAAAAAAATAAAAATAATCATAAATTAACTCTATTGTTTTTAATCAATCAAACTCTTTATTTAAAAACGTTTTTGACTTCTTTCAAACGATGTGATATGTTGTTACTAACAATAAATAATATTTTTTTGATTGTTGTATTAAATATATTAACATATTAAATTACAACACTCACAAATTTTTTATTTCAAAAAGTACCTTTTCATTGTTATTCATCTAATATACAGTTAGTTTCACAACAATTCCTTATTTTTCATAACAAATAGATTTCTGTTTCATAACAATTAGATTTGTACCTTTGTTCAGCCCCGTTTCAAAATAATTATTTTTTGTTGCACAGTTTGCGTGATCGTTGCATAATTGGCATTATTGTTGCATATAAATATCGGGTGTTCAGAACTATTA